GGCAGGGCTGCTCTCAATCCCTTCATGCCCCAGCCTGTACTGATACCGGGGGTTGCCCCGACCCAGGCAGGTGCAGGACCCTGCCCTTGGCCTTGTTAAACCTCATGAGGTTCACACAGGCCAACTTCTCCAGCTTGTCCAGGTCCCTCTGAATGGCATCCCCGTCCCTCTGGTGTGTCAACCACACCACTCAGCTTGGTGTCATCTGCAAACTTGCTGAGGGTGCACTCGATCCCACTGTCTATGTCATTGATGAAGATATTAAACAGTACCAGTCCCAATACAGACCCCTGCGGGACGCCACTCGTCACCAATCTCCATCTGGACATTGAGCTGTTGACCACTACCCTCTGAATGCGACCATCTAACCAATTCCTCACCCACCGGACAGTCCACCCATCAAATCCATACCTCTCCAGTTTAGAGAGAAGGATGTCGTGGGGGACCATGTCAAAGGCAGTTTATAACAAGTAAGAGGAAACAGAAAACTATCATAAAAGAAGGATAAATAAGCATTAGGACTACAATACAAATAGGAACTCTTCTTTTGGCATTTTAAAAGAAGCATTAAGAATTGTGTGGAGTTAAAAGACCAATGAAAAATTGCTCAGGAGGTTAAAGGATAATAAGCTAGCGAAAGAATTACATTAAATACAGATCGGTAGGGCCAGATGATATAGAGAGATTTTTTCGGGAACTGTCACAGGTCAAGCTGATTTCCAATTAAAGGGATTTAACTTTGAAAAAAAAGACAAAAATGCAGATTCAGGCCTATGCAAAGCATCAAGATAAACAGGTCTGGAGCAGAGCAGTTCATGTACGTGCAAAGTTTACATGGAAAACTCCCCCCTCCCCCAAACTGCTTGATTATTTTTAAGAGATCCATATGGGCCTATGCAACTATACCTTCCAATCTCTGGCAGCATCTCTGGCCTGTTGTATATTATTCATTTTCTTTTGTACAGGCATAATTATGCCAAACTGAAGCTTAATAAAGGTTTCTTTTAAACGTATCTTATTATCGTCCTCCCAAGCAGCAGCCTTCTACTTTTCTTTTATTTGGTTTCTTTCATACCGTAATTTTTTTCTGTCAAGATACTGTTAAATGGACTGAAATGGCGCTATTAAATACCAGGACCTTCAGCGGCCACCACAGACTAGCACAGAGGGTGTTAACAGTTTGGTTAGAAACAAAAAGCAATACACTACGAACTACAGTGACGTGAGGTGCTGTCCTATGCCTGCATGCCCGCTTTGCACT